TATATATATATATAGATATATTTGGCTGTATCAGAGCTGTGACCTGAAGGTGCAATTGGAAGGTTTGGTTTAAACTGCATTAGAAATTGTTAAATTTTAGGCCATTGGGAAAGACCCTGGCTCTGATATTCTTCATAAGCAGCTGTTTTTGTTGGCACAACTGTTGTGCCTGAGGAGGGAAATTGTCCCTGTAGCGATGGAAGTGTGCTGGCTCATGAAGAAACCCGAGGTGTGGTTCTCTGGAAAAAGTGAGTTTCTCTTTGCAGCTCACCTACACCCAGCCCTTCATGTGGTTGCTGGAAACAAAGTGTTGCTCAGTTTGATAAAACAGGGTTAATTAGCTATTATGGAGGAGCTATGGCTTTATTTGAAAGTTTAACTCCTGACCTCTTCGTAAACTCAAGGATAAGTGTGTTGTTTGCATTGCCCCTGAAGCTATGGGGAGGAAACTTCACTGTCTTGAACTGTCATGTCTGAAGGGCTTTTCTGGTGGAAACCCTGCTTTTGCTCTTCAGATCCCTTACCAGATCTTCCATTCACCCAACGCTCCTGTCCCGTAACTGAGTCATCCCACCAGTCTGCACTGGAAACAGCTCTAAATGTGATTATGGCTGCTGTAGGTGCTCTGTTATGGAAATACTCATTTGTGTAGAGGTGCTTTGATGACTCACCTGTTAATCCAGCTCCTATTCAAAGCGATGGTGCAATGCAGGTGTATGGGCAAGCACATTGCTGTGTCCCCTGTTCCTGAAGCTATGTGGTGGCTGAGTACAAGAGGTTTTCCTGTGCAAAAAAGAGCAGGAAATTAATGTGGTTGATTTTAGAGTGTGTTGGTCTTGATTAGAGTGACCTGTAGGTCTGTCGCCCTTTACTGGCATAGCAGGTGTTGAGGACGTTGCAGGTGCTTGTCTGCAGGCTCCTTGCAGCCTGGACTCATGAAATGTCTTTAAAAAAAAAACCCAACTAAAATCTCCAAAGACCAACCAAAGAAAAGCAAAGCATGGCTGTTTGGGGATGGGGAGGAGCTTTGCTAACGCTTAGATCTGCAATGCCAGGAGGCTTCAGACCCCTGTGCCTCACCTGTAGCTCTTCTGCCCCACAGGCATCGACATACTGAAGCTGGTGGCAGCCCAGGTAGGGAGCCAGTGGAAGGACATCTACCAGTTCCTGTGCAACGCCAGCGAGCGTGAGGTGGCGGCTTTCTCCAATGGCTACGCAGCTGACCACGAGCGCGCCTATGCTGCCTTGCAGCACTGGACCATCCGCGGCCCGGAGGCCAGCCTGGCCCAGCTCATCAGTGCCCTCCGCCAGCACCGGCGCAACGATGTGGTGGAGAAGATCCGAGGCCTGATGGAGGACACCACACCGGTAACGATGGGCTGGGTTTTGCGTGCTCTTGTCTGATGCAGTGCATGTCTTGTCTGGCCATGGTGAGCATGCATGGACCCAGCTGCAGCATCAAGCTTAGCTTATAGCTGAATAGCTGGACACCATCTCCCCCTGGAGCTCCTTAGGGGTTATAATTAAGCTTGACATTACTTTTGAGCTTTGCCAAAGTTTGCTCAAAACCTTGTCAAAGTTTGGACAAACTCTCGAGTCCCACGTGTTGTGGTTTGCATGTATCTTTGAAGGTCACCAGGACGACCTGGTACTTGAGCCCTCATATAGGGGATGATCAGCCTTAGGTGTTGGCCACTGCCGTGTCTGGAAGGTCCTGGACCGGCTGCTCTGCTAAAGCAGCACGTGGGATATAAAAGCTTGGAAGCACCCCAGGGTGTAGATTCAGCATGGCAGCACATTGTGTTTCTGCAAGGATTTACTTGCTGTAACCTGTTTGCCTCCTCTCCCAGAACTGGCTCCCACACTGTGGATGCGGGCGGTGACAGAATGGCCCTGGGAGGGATACAGAAAGCTGTGGGAAGCAGCTTGTGCAAAGGAGGCTGAATCCCTGGAGCCTCATGCCAGTGGCTGAGCTGCATCACAGCATCCAGATCGTGAGCGGACGGGGCAGCCGACTGCTCAATGCCGGGAGCAGGCAGGGAGATTGATTTTTGGGTTTTTTCTAATCTGCTGGTTGGAAAGCCTTTAATTAGCACTAATTCCGGTCTGACTCAGTGATTTGTCTGTCCAAATGCAGACAAATCAAGGCAGTTTCTCTGTGTACCAAACTGGTTTGATCCGAGTGAACAGGTTGACCTGTTGGTGGCACTTTGTGCTGTGGAGGGAGCGAGGGCTCTCATAAGCAATGCAAACACATGCGTGCTCCCTATGGCTAAGGGCATGATGCCCTTGGGGCAACTCTAGCCAGCAGTGAGCATCTAATGTGTGTCAGCGTGTCCTAGATGAGCTCAGGAGGGGTGCACAGGTGGCTGTGCTGTCTGTGATGCCTTTGGCCCTGCCTGGCATCCCTGGGAGCAAAAGGGGGTTTTCCCATCAGTCCCCATGCTCCTGTGTCCATAAGAAAGCAATGATACCCCCAATTCATAAGTAAAAATTGTGTTAAAATGATGCAGCTCTTGGACAGCAAATATGTAAACCGAGCCAGCCTCTCTTCACCATCTCATCTGCTATCACATTCTTGCCCAAATCATTTGTCTGGCATCTGACTTAAGCCTGCAAAACCTGTGGAGGCAAAGCTGCTCTCTTCTGTCATGTCCCATTCCCTCAAGCAGCCCTTTGGGCTCCGTAATCCAAATATTTACAACCCCTGATAGGAATAAGGGAATTAATGGGAATCTCCGGAGCATTACGGTACGTTGCAGGAACATTTTCCCTCAAGTGGGGGAACAGCTCCACTGAAGACTCGCCAGCTTTTTTAGCTGTAGGAGATTATGCTGGTTTTGCATCGTGCTGAATGAATTTTAGGTTAAGACGAGATTAGCCTTCTGAATCGCTTTGCTAGGGTTTGTGTTCTGCAGCAAGCACAGCAGCTGCGGGAAGGGTTTTAGGGGTGCGTTTAATTTGGAGGGCTTCTGTTTAAGGTTTGCTCTGGCCATGAATACTTCTCAGCATTGAGGTTTGCAAAATCTCTCCCCTTGCAGCCAAGCTTGCAGGGCCAGCAGCATGCGAGCCTGAGCACTGTTCATTGAGCACAGGCACACCCCAGATTAGTGCTGACAACAACAAAAATGGGGAATAGAAGAGGAAAAGGGAGAGGGTTTTCACTGCTATCCCAGGAAATTGCCATTCTCCATTTTGAGGTTAAAATCGGAAGAATTCAGTGTAGCACAGGCTCTGGGCTATGGGGTTTTTTTGGGGGTGCATAACAGCATTGTGCAGATACCAAGTGGTGTCTGTGCTTGCCGGGGCTGGCCTCCAGTGTTGTTGGCACGACTGGCTGCATTGGCTACTGTAAGTGTCCTACCGTGGGCAATGCTTTAAGAGCTTTTTATTTATGGCTCTGCTGGCCTCGGCTGAAATATTTCAGGGAATGGACGGAGGGGAAGCAAACAGCCTTGCTCAGGGCATTCAGCAGCGCAGCCTCAGCAAAGCTTATAAAAAAGAATAATAAATTAATAAGGGAGATGTTGAAAATGGAGAGGGGGAGGCTGCAGCCCTGAGCCCAGCGAGATTTACATCCGTAGCTAATTGCGTGCTGCAGATAATCCCATGAATCAGCAAATATGTCAGGGCTGGGTCTGGTGTGAGGTTAAGCCACAGGGGTTTTGGGGGTGCCAGAGGAGAAGAGGATGTGAAAGCAGCCCCGTGTCTAGGCACGCGGCTGTGTCAGTGCCTTTTGGCTCCTTCTCTTCCTCTTTTGCAGGTCAAAACCCTGCAGGTCAAGAGCCTGGAGCAGCGTTCCCTAAATTCAGCCCCCAACAGCTCCTGCCCATTCCCTTCATTTCCTCTTTTGGCAAAGCTGAACTGGACTGGACCCAGTAATCAGCAGTTCATTTTGTGCTGTGTTAACCTCATGTGTCAGCAGTGGAGCAAGGGTTTTGCTGGAGTGGGCATCACTGTTTTACTCCAGGGTTGCGCTAAACCATGAGTTGATTTTCGGCAAACCGAGGCTGGGTTTGAATCAGACTGGAGACTGTACAATAAACAGAAAATTAATGATTTATAAAGTAATGTAAACATAAATAATAGAAACACAGAAATATGAACTTTACAGTTTGAGGTTTCCCTGCTGTGGTAGTCACATCTTCTTGGAATTGTGTTCTCTGTATTTGTGTATAACGGGCTTGGGAGCGTAAGATGAAGCTAGTACATGGTGGGGTCATAACAAGATGCACTTGGTAGTGACTTAGCCTGTAATGTTGTTTTGAAACTCTTCATCATGGCTTCATCATCTCTTCATCACGGTTTGAGTTGAAAAAGTGGGCGGGCAAATCCACAGCAAGGAGAAGGCTCTAAAAGCTCTCATTGAGACGCCATCTCCTGCTTGGAGAAGCACTTGGCCCACACATGGCTGGGGCTGATGGGGAAGAGCTGCTTCCTCTGTGTACAGCTTGGCATCTGAACCCTCCCCAGACCCAGCATTGCCCATCCTGGGTTGTGTGAGGCTTGACATGAGTAGCTCTTCTCCAGCGCTGCTCTTCTGAAACATGGCTGCTGAGGTGAAGGACACAAAGAGGACATTTGGGCTTTTCCAGCCCAGGGTGCTGAGCACCCCTGAGCCTTTTCCATCCCGGTGAAGGGCTTGCCTCCTGCCCTGCAGCACCTTCCCACTGTCGCTGCATCTCTCTGCCACCTCGATGAGACCTTGTGGCCTGGCCAATGGTGTTTCACCTTCCAAGGTCTGATCTGCCCTGAAGGTGGACTCCCAAACACCACAAGCCCCATGAAGCTGCTCATCCAAGCAGATCATCCCTTTGACTGTTGGGACTATAGCGAGAACAGCATTGCAGGGCTGCCATCCAGCCCACCCTGCTTCATGTGCTGGGGCTCCTCCTCCCGCATCCTTTATGGAGGCATAACAGATCTGGGAATAGGGCTGGTGTCAGCCGGGTGTCATCTTTTGGCAGGGAATCTGGGAAACAGCTGCTTCAGTGCTAAATTTGTCCCCCCACATCCCAGGAGGGTGCTCAGCCACCCTCTGCAGCAGCAAACCTGCCACCAGCTTTTATTATGCCTGGTTGCTGCAGGAAGCATTGCCCAAGGGAGGGGTTTTTTAATGCCTATGACTGCTCCTTCCTAACATTAGCACAGCAGCTGCAGTTACTGTTGACCGAGTTGATCTTTTATTGCCATACACTAAAATGAAGCCAGAAAATAGGACTAGCCAGTTCAAACAGAGCTGTTGGGACCAGCTGTGAAAAGAAAACAAAGCCAAGCCTATGTCTTCTTCTGCCTCCATCCCCTTCTGCTCCTTTTTTGACCTTCAGACACCCTGAGCTGCTTGGAGCATCCTCCTAGATGCATTGGGATCCAAGAAGATGTCAGTGCTTGAGCATCCTAAAGCTACATGACAGCGTTTAGGATGTTGGGGTTTTTTTGGCGTTGCAAACCTCTTGCTGCAGTGCTCAGAAAAACCCAAAATTAAATTGGCAGGGTGCCCTGGCTGGTTGCAGGATGCTGCTGATGCGTCAAAGCCACCACGGTGCCTTCGGTTTTCATGCTGGACCATACATCTAACAGTCTCCTATGTGTCTGTCTCTGCAGGTGCAAATGCAGCCTCAGTGGCAAGCACAGGAACCCTGCAATGATGATGGAAAGGTGAGCAATTTGGTGATTCTGGAAAGGCAAAGGGGCTGTGGAGGGTGGTTTTGATTGCTTTTCCTGTTTTTTCTTATTTTTTTTCCCCTGGCCAAAGCTGGGTTTCACTCAAGCACCACTGTTCTTAAAAATAGGAATGGCCAAGGTGGTGGCTTCAAGCAAATGAGTCACGGGCTATGAATAGTGTATTTTCACACCTATTCCACAGGCTTCACCTCGCAGCAACCTTTTGCTTTCCCTGGCTTCTCAAAACCCTCATTCCCACTTGCTTTCTTCCTGTGGTTTAAATATTAACATGCATCCAAGCATCCTGTTTGCTTTGCCTCAAGCTTGCTACCGTTCAGCTATTTGGAAAGCTTTGGGCTCCCAGGACGCCTACAGTCAAATAACCTCGGGTGATTTTTTTTCTCCTAGTGTGCGTTAGCAGCTGTTTAATTAAACTCCATATGACTCACTTCTGGGAAGGGCTTTTCCCCTCTGCTGGGAAGGCAGAGCTGGGGCAGATGGCTGCTCCCTGCCCTCCTTGTAATTGCTTCTCGGCCGTCAGGCCCCTTTTTGGAAATGAGGTGGGTTTGTGGCTGGATCTTAAATAGATGAGTTTGCACGAGGAGAAACTCACTCCTAAAGCCTGTCTGTTATTTTTAAAGGGGAAATCAGAGCATGTTGCAGTTTGGAAAGTGGCCAGCCACTCTTCTGCTGCTTCCATTGCTTTTCCCCCATTAATGGCAATGGGCTGATTCTCATTGGTGAGCCCTATTGGAAAGGGAGTTTCAGAGGAGAAGGCAGATTCTTTTAATTAAAAATTAAAGCTGACTTTTATTTTTAATATGCATATTGCGTAATATGCTGAGCTAGAACAAATCGTCCCCTGTTTGTTTTCAATGGGGGGAGGAAAAAAAACCTTTTATTCTACCAGAAACAAGCTTCAATGTTAATTTAATGTGAACTAATGGGCGTCTCAGCAGACATGTGATTTGTGGGTGGCGAATTCCTCGACATGGACAAGGAATGTGCCGGCACATCCGTGCCGACGCGGAGGTGCCTCAACAGCTCCCTTTCCCACAGCCTTTAATCCGAATTTTGCATTTTAATCCCTGGATAGTAAGCAAAGCATGTTAGCAGGAATAGCCTGGTCTTCCCTCTCTAGAAGGAGAAAACAGGTTGGGAGAGTGGGTTGCACGTGGACAGGGCTTGCAAATCTGTGCTCTGGCAAGTCAAGCAGGGGTGCAGGCTTTGGGAAGAAGTTAAATATTAGATGGTTATAGCAACCTGCCTGGGGGGACGTGGTGACATGCAGAGGTGTCCAAGATGCCAGCCAGGGATGTGGGACGCTGCCCCAAGCCTCTCATCACTGCAGCGAATGGGAACCAGAAAAGCTCTGCTTGAGATTTACACCCCGAGGGGATGCAGAGAGACATAGGAGGGTAGATAATGTTGGCTGCTGCCGTGCAGGTGGGAAGGAAATGCAAGAAGGAAGATGAAGAGCACAGTCAAATTAGGAAGTGGGTTCAAACCAGCACCCATGCGTGCAGCATGTCCCAGCAGCACTTGCTTCTGTGGAGCCAAACGCTTGCCTGTGGCTTGTATCAGGGTATCATAAAGCAAAGGTACTTGGGTGACATTGGGGTCAGAGCCAGCCCTTGGTTGTCCTTCTGGCCCTGAATTTGGAGTCTGGTGAGGTGGATTTGTCTCTTACACTTTAATGGGGTGCTCATGGGAGCAAGGGTGAGACGGGGCAAACAAATCATTAACTCTCAGCATGACCAGTGTAGCTGGTCACGGGAGCGTGGTGCAGTGGAGATCCCTGAGGGGTCTTGCAGCTTTCACCCTGTAGCCTTGGCAGTGGTTGGTGGCATGGAGCCAGGCTATGCCTTGCTTTTAGCAAACAGTAGCTGTGGAGCAGGATTTCTGGGGGGAGCTTACCTGCTTGGGCATCATCACCTGATGCCCCAAGAGCTGAGAGTGAGAAGGAAAGCCAAGTTAAAATGCTCTGCTGTTGTGGTTCCATGTGCCACCCTAGTGCTGCAGTTGCTCCTACCAAGAGCATGGCTTGTGTTGCCCTTCCTGCCTGCCAAGCACTGACATGCCAAATGCCAGCACTCATGTCCCCCTGGGTCAGCTCCAGTGCCTGTCTGGGTCAGCATGAGCCCTGGCAGGAGGAGGAGGCCACCAGATTGTGGGGACCTTTTGCCAAGGATGGGTTGGGGTGTGTTGAAAGCCAGGATGCAGAGATTTTGAGTGCAAGCCCATTGCATAGCATCTCCCGAGTTCATTTTCCATCTCTTTCTTCCTCCTAAAGCTGGAAGCTGACAGACTGGCGCTGCCGGTGAGCCCCAATCCGGTGAGCCCTGCACCTAGTCCCAGCCCCAAGCCCCCCGAGGCGGCTGTCCTCACCGTGGAGCCCTCTCCTTCAGAGAAAAAATGCTTCTTCGTCGATGAAGCAGAGCCTCTCCTGCGGTGCGACTCGACCTCCAGCGGCTCCTCCGCGCTCAGCCGGACAGGCTCTTTTATTACCAAAGGTACCAAAATCAACCCAGGGGGAAGTGGGAGGACTGAAAGATGCTGTGGTATGTCCCTTGTGTTCAGCACATGTGGTAGAGCTGCCCAGCATGGTATCCTTGAAGTAAATAACTGGGGAAACTGGCTTTCCAGGATACATTTATCACATCCTCGTTCCAGACCAGAATAACCTGTTAGCAAAGACTATACAGATTTGGGAGGGGGAAAACACCTTTAAAGGCTTTTAAGTCTTTGTGCTGCAAGAGAAGTTGTAGCATCCCTGAATATCTGGGGGGGTTTGTCCTGACTTTTGGCTGTCACATTGGCCTCTGTGTTATTGCATGAGATGAAACCAGGAAAATGTCATTTCAGAATTGATTTCAAGTTTGAATTATTATTTTTTGCCCTTGGTCCTGCTGCTGCAGTGTGTGATTTGAGATGTAAATCACCATTAGGCACCCCCCCTTCTTTTTGAGGGAGTTTAATTTGCTGCATTTAACCTGCTGTGTTTAATCTTCTTTAACTTCTGGTGAAGGTGAAACTGAGTTCGGTCAGTCTACTGAATTTACATGTGGGTGCAGAAATGAAGCTGATCTGACAAAAACAACTTAAAAGAGCAGAATTCAGCTTTTTTGGCTCCCCTTCTGCCTTCACTTTTCCGTATTGATCATTCAGCATTTATAAGTGCTGTGTTCGCTCTAGTGGGATCCTGGATTAGGTGCAGCACTGGCTTCTCCATCTTCTCCCCTCCCTATCACTCCTCACCCTCCACTTTTTCCCTCTGTTCTCTTTGTGGCGTGCCCCTCTTCAGAGGTGGCAACAGGAGATGGACCAAGGTGTCCAAGGAGAGCAAGCCCTGGTAAGCAGATATTTCTTGAAGGGTTTCTTGACCACCCTCTCTTTTCCTCCTACAGAAAAGAAGGACACTGTCCTGCGCCAGGTGCGCTTGGACCCTTGCGACCTGCAGCCCATCTTCGACGACATGCTGCACATCCTCAACCCTGAGGAGCTCCACGTGATAGAGGAGATCCCGCAGGCTGAAGACAAGCTGGACAGGCTATTTGAGATTGCCGGAGTCAAGAGCCAGGAAGCCAGCCAGACCCTCCTGGACTCTGTCTATAGCCACCTTCCCGACTTACTGTAGACTTCCTGGGTCACCATGCACTCTCCGAATATCTGCTAGAGCTAGCTTGGCACTCGTTAAGACGACCGACAATACACAGGCAGGTTTTGTTGTAGAATATATGGCCAGTATTTTCATTGAGGTGTCCTTGGTTTTTGGAGGGGGGGCAGTTTGCCAGCATTGCACCCCTCCACTGTAACTCTATCGCTCAGCCCAAGTCTTTGCACCCTCTGCCCCCTTCCTGAGCCTCTCTTCTCCCTGTTTCATTCCAATCAGATCAGTCAATGCACTTTAAAAAAGTAATAATATTGCAGTTAACAAACTAAAAGACCATGAATCTGGTGTAATTTAACACATCGAATCGGGGATTGCTCTATAACCCGCTTCTTCTGTCAAAGCTGTTGCTCGGAGTGACTGTCTCCCACCACCTCCCTCTGCCTCGGAGCGGTAAATGGCAAACACACACACAAAAAACCCCAGTCGTGGCTGGTTACTGTCTCTTAACACAGCTAAGCTTCCCACCCGAGCTGACTTTTTTAATGTACTATTGTATAGCTCGTATCCATTGCTGAGATTTTACTAGCACGGTTATTTATTGTATGGTTTTCACCCGGACAATGCATTGCGCTCCTATAAGCTAAAGCAGAAGCGCTTTAACCGCAAAGAAAAGGGTCAGCCCCACCAATCTTCGAGGCGATGAGAAGGTCCTTTGCCTTCAGTCGAATGTAAGGAGTTGTCTTGCCTTGCTGCTTGCGGGGATGGAGGGGCCCGGAAGGGAGCCGGTGCTGGACGTGGGGAGGCGAAGGCGGCCGCCGGTGGTCCTGCTCTCCTCGTGGTGTAAGACTTAAACCAAGCTATGCTTTTACACTCGTGTCTCTTGTTTTTTATACAGACGTGGCCGATATAGGTTCTCTGAAGACCTTACCTGGTCTTAATAGTCTCTTCAAATCACACTTCACTTTTTATTAAAAGAAAAGAGATTGGGGGGTGGGAGGGGGGGGAAAGCTGCATTGTAAGAAATCTGTGATTATATTTGCAACTCTTATGCTCCCGTAACAAACAGTCTGTACTACCCTCAGTCTGAAGAAATCGTGGTATGAGGGTGGTGTGTGCCGCCCCACGGGAAGGGGTGGGAGTGGGGGAAGAGGGGAATGAATTGAAAAATTGCCTTCCAGTGTACTAATTTATTAATAAATACTAGGTGTTTGTTACTTGACACGATTCTGCGTTAACCTCCTTAACACCTGCCTCTGCTTAGGGACACATGGCTTGGAGCAGGCACTGCTCAGGGTGTCCATGGGGGGGGTGAGGAAGGAGATTTTGGGGTTTGAAGGTGGTGACGGGGTTGTCTCCTGTAGTTTTGAGGCCAAATGTGGTTGCTTTCTGTTGACAACACTGCCTTGAGTCCTCGTGGTCTACACTGGAAATGCTTCCCCATGGGGCAGTTCCCTGCACTGAGCTGGGGTGGGGGACACGTGTTATTCCTCACAGTGGTGAGCAGATCAGATGGTTGATGGGGTTTCCAGGGTTGGTTTTTGCAAGCTCTCAAAGGCTTTGCAGGCATTTGGAGGGGCTGAAGTATTAATTTTCCAGGATGCAGCTGCTGTGCTGAGTCACTCCTAAGCGGAGGTCTTGCAATCACAGCGTTTCTGTTGCCCTGTTATATTACCAGTGTCCTTAACATCTCCACTTCCAAATAACTCATCCCTTGTTATTCTGTCTACGAATGGAAATGTTAATGGGACAAATGCTTCTGGTTTATAATACTGTCATTTTGTATACTTAGCTGCAGAGTGTTTTCTGTTAACTCGGGTAGTGTGTTTTCCTTCTGGCTGGTGTTGAAAATTGCTGTTATAGGACTATATGTAGGTACAAGACTAAAACTTTTCAATGTGTGGACATATCAAATACAGTGCAGAACAGCAAGAGGCTTTACTGGGAGCGCTGGTGTGGGTTTTTCCCTTGCTGGCAATGAAGCATTGAGCTCTTAGTGGCTGCAACGTGCCTCCAAAGCATCGTGAAGAAATCGTGAGCGTGGCTCATGTTCCTGGCATACACCATGTTGCTAAAAGCAGCATTGAGGTGCAACCCAGCACCACCCTGTTGGCAAGTGGATTTTTTTCATCCCCATATTGGGAGTGGTGGTGGTTGCTGTTGATGTGCCCAGGCAAGAGTTGATAAGGGGAAGGAAGGTGTGTGATCATGGGTTCAACCAATAGCTTAAGGCAAGCGCAAACCGCTGGCTTTAAATTATCCTTAGCAGGCTCATGGAGTGAGTCCAGCTGGGAAACCAGGCATTTGTCCTTTAATGATGGTCCAGGTTCTTCCAGGTAAACCCATGGGTTGCAAGCACCAGAGCCATTGTGCCACCCTCCCTGGGCACCACCGCCTTCATCCTGCAGCTCCGCTTCCCGTCCTGGCAGCTGCTTGCACTTTCTGGTGGGCTTTAAAGGTAAAGTGAAACAAAACAGTCTGGAGAAGAGGATTTAGCAGCCAGCTGAAGAAATCATAGAATCACAGAATGGTTTGTGTTGGAAGGGACCTTCAAAGGACATCTAGTCCAACTTCCCTGCAATGACCAGGGGCATCTTCAACTGGATCAGGTTGCCCTTCAGAACCACATCCAGCCTGGCCTTGAGTGTCTCCAGGAATGGTGCATTCACCACCTTTCTGGGCAACCCGTGCCAGTGTTTTACGACCCTCATAGTAAAGGATTTTTTCCTCACATCCAGCCTCAATCGCCCCTCTTTTAGTTTAAAACCATCAACCCTCATCCTATCACAACAGGCCAGGCTAAAAAGTCTCTCCCCATCTTTCTTGTAAACCCCTTTTTAATACTGAAAGGTCTCCCCAGAGTCTTCTCCCGGCTGAACAACTCCAACCCTCTCAACCTTTCCTCATAGAAGCGGTGCTCCATCCCTCTGATCATCTCTGTGACCCTCCTCTGGACCCTTTCCAACAGGTCCATGTATCTCCTGTACTGAGGACTCCAGAGCTGGATGCAGGACTCCAGCTGGGGTCCCACCAGAGCAGAGTAGAGGGGCAGAGTCACCTCCCTTGACCTGCTGGCCATGCAGCAGGCATGTTGTGGAGGTGCCGTGGCCAGAAGATGCCGAGGAGGCACAAGGAAGCTGTAAAAGCAGGTGATGGTGGGTCTCTGAGCTGTGTTTAACTCATCTTAGCAGGAGGTTGTGGGACAGGCCAAAATTTGGGCAGTCCTTGGCGCCATCTATGCTGTGCACACTTCCAGCATTGCTCTCTCCTCTGCTTGCACCTGGATGTTGGTCTTGTCCCTGGCTCCATCATTTCCCATTTCCAAGCTGTGCCCTCTAAGCATCCCATTGCTGTTTGCATATGTATATTAGATACAAATATGGTACATGAATATATACTACATTTTTCTATATTATGTTATATATTTTAGAATTATTTTTATTTATATATGTGTTTAATACCTCAATATATAAATATTTTATGCATCCGGGGGTGTGCATGGGAAATGCCTGAGAGCAGCTGAGCCACACTGAACCCCACATACAGGTGGGGTTACCTGGCAGTGTGGGAGGTGTGAGGAGCTACAAGCACTCTACCCCCACCCTTCCTCTGAGCCAGCTCTCAGGCCTTGGGAATGTAAACCAGGCAGGTAGGATCAATGGGCTTGTGGCCTGAAGGCATTAACCCCACAGTGGGGAGAGACAGTCCTTTTCCTCCTATGTGGCTTATTTGAGGCATCATGAGCAATACACACCACAGCACTGGTTGTGGTGCACAGCTCAAATGGGTGAGGTTTTTGGCTACATGGATTTAGCAAGGTAAAGCTGTGACTACGAAGACCTTTATACATACATATAACATGCATAAAAATGCATTTTGCATTTTATGCAAAACATGCATTAAAAATGTACTCCAATGTGCATTGTAGGCAAGATGTGGGGTGTGAAATGTGTGGCTTTGCTTTACTCGTTGTCTGGCCTCGCTTGCTCAGTTGTGGTGTTTGCTCCGTGTGTGCTGTCCTCCACCTAGGGACAACCGGGATAAGGGGGGATTTAGGTGCTGGGGTGGCAGTTCTGGACGGCGGGGGGCAGACAGAAAGCAAAACGAATGCAGCCAAGCTCCCCTCTTTTGCCTGCTGTGGGCATCTTGTGTTAGAGCAGAGAACACATTTCTCCTGTAGGTCACACCAGAAAACATCAGCTACTCTAGTCCTGCTTGCTGTGGGCTTGGACAAGAAGTGTGAAGATTGCATTTCCTACCAAGGTCACAGTGTTTGCTGGGACAAAACTGTCTGGAGATGCCTCCAGCGTGGCCTAGCATCGTCAGGACTGGATGGTTCTGCCTTTCCAGGGTCTTTTAATTCCTTCAGTGCAAACAAGGTTTGGGATTGTTTGTTTCTTATTCCCTTTCTTTATTTCCTCCATGAATTGCAGGTGCTCCCTGCAGAAGAACAAGGCACCTGGTGCACTCTCCTCCTACCCCAGCCTAATTGGAGTTTATCCTAATTGTCAATTAATTGCAAGCCTCCAGGCGTGACTGCTTACATCCTTCCTTGGAAAAGCACCCAAGTCTTCTGGGAGGTTATTCACCCCCCTTACATCAGCTATTGTCTGGGTGAATTGCAACACAGCCTGTGTGTAGGAGGAATCGTCTGTGCAGCCTTTGTGTGAACAACCTGCAGGGAGACGGGTGGCGATGCCGCCCAAGGTTGCCTGCGGGCTTGGCGTGGGATGCGGGGTTACCTGGGGAGGCTGTGCCCATGCCGGGGCTGCGAGGCCAAGCTGTGCAGGCTGTGGGAGGGAGGCAGGTTGGTACAGGGTTGGGTCACACCAAAATCCTGCTCTGCCATTGCCGGGCCATGAGTTTTAAGTCACAAAAGCTTTGCAGCTGTTTTTCCTTCTCTTGGACTTTGCTCCTGTGAGTACTGCGATGGGGAAGTTTCCAGGGCAACTGGTGGGAAATGGGAAGCTGGAGGAGCAATAAGAGGAGCCATTGTTTATGTATTCGAGTACATGCCTAGTGGTGGCGTCCCCCAAGGTGTTTATCAAACCAGCCTTTAGACATGGCTGCTTCTTCACTGTGTGAGCATTTACAAGGTTTACGGTTTCCTTTGGAGTGCTGTAATTCAATTTTCCCTTTTGGGTTTCCTCCTTTTCTCAAGCATTTTCTTAACCAATATAATCCAGAAAAAGGGAAAAAACAAACAAAATAACACCGGAAGCATCCAAATAACATTGGGTCAGCTGTTGATGAAGATGCTGTCCAGCAGCTCAAGCAGTGACGTCATAGGGTTTCCTAAACTTAC